AGAAAGACGGTACACACACATGCACACACACACACATACAAATACCGCAGCTACGCAGAGATTTGAAACAGACTCAGGATTAGGAGCGACTGGGGATTCCTCTGGATCTGGTGGACGGGGAAGGCCATTCTAGGAGGTGACTTCGAGGTGAGGCCTGTCAAAGAGCCAGCCCAGTTAAAGATCAGGGGCAAACCCTGGCAGAGGGAGGGGTTGGTACAAGGGAAAATCAACCTGGCGAATTCAAGACTGAGAACGGAAGCCAGTGGGGTCCACAGCTTCTGGGGTGAGGCTAAGGAAAAGATCTGGGGTTTCACTCTAGGTGAAATGAGAACCAGAAAATTGGAGCCGGAGCGTCAACCCAACAGGTACGGATCTGGAACGGCCTGGATGGCTGCTGGGTGGGAAGTAGGGGTTGGGAGTCTCCCGCAACAGTCCAGGCAGAAGAGCGCGTGGCTTGGTCTGTTGTGGCCATGTGTGCGCGCATGTGTGTGCACCTGTGCATGTGGAGCTCAGACCACCTCTGCTTGGCTGTGGGAGCCGCTGGGGCCTGTCCTGGGACCAGGCCCCATCTTGGCTTCTCACTTTCCTCCGGCTTCATGTACTGCCCCTGCCAGATGGAGATTCCCCAACGGCCAGCTGGGACAGTGGGATGGGTGGCCCTTGGGCAGAAGCTGACATCTGGGCATCCTACCCGGGGCCCAGGAGGCCTTGGTAGCCCCACCCGGCAGCGGCAGGCAGGCTCCAGGGCAGCTGGTGGCGATTAGCAGCGTTGATTATCTCGTGGCGATGCCATCTGGGGTGAGGGCACTGAGCCCAGCCCCACAGGATACCCTGCTTGCTGGCGTGTAGAGCTTTCTGGGGCTGAAGCATATAAATGTGTCAGCAACGCTTGTGTGCCTGTATGTGTGTACATGTGTCCGTGTGTGAGTGGGGGGTTTCTGTGGGAGCTGCCCGTGTCTGTGTGCACATGTGTGTGCGCCCCGTAGATCCTCGGGCTTCTCTGCTTGCATACGTGAGTCGTAGCATACGCTACCTGTGGGCACGGGTTTGTGTTTCCCTGTGTATGTGCATACATATCTGTGCGTACCTGCATGTATCTGTACGTTCAAGTACACACAGGGCCGTGCGCATGTCCAGGGATACATTTCTGTGGGTTCGTACGTGCTCATGTACGCGTCTCTGTGTGTCTGTTTATGTGGAGTATGTGTGTGCATGTGGCTGTGTAAGCATAAGTGCCCACATCTGCGTGCGACGTCTACACGTGTGTTGTGAGACAGCGTTATCTGTATGTTCCTGGATATGTGCACGTACGCGTCAGAGGGAGGGAGAGGCATAGGTACGTTTCCAGACTGTGCCTGTAGTATCTCCAGGCTTGGCTGTTCTTGCGAGTGCCTTGGGGTGCCACGAGGGGTTATCTGCATTCCACCTTCTCTGGTCCCTCCGGCTCTGGCTGATCTGGGTCCAGCCCTCCCTTCCTGCCTGGGAGAGTCGACTCTGAAGGGGGGAAAGGTGGGGGAGTTGCCCGGGATGGCACAGTAGTTAAGAACGTGTGCTGGGAGTCCAGACTAGCTGGGTGTGGGTCCCCGTTCCACCACCTACTAGCCCTGTGATCTTGGGCAAGTTGTGCTGTTCCTATGCTCCAGGTTTCCCCATCCGTAACATGGGGATAAGAATAGAATTCTCCCCGGGCACCTGCGGGCTCAGTCAGTTAGGCACCCGCCCCTTCATTTAGGCTCAGGTCATGATCTCACGGTTTCGTGAGGTCAAGCCCCATGTCAGGCTCTGCGCTGGCCGCTCCGGAGCCTGCTTGGGACTTGCTCTCTCTCTCTCTCTCTTTCTTTCTCTTTCTCTGCCTCTCCCCTACCTCCCTCTCTCATGATAAATAAACTTTATTTATTTATTTATTTATTTATTTATTTATTTATTTTTAATGTTTATTTTTGAGAGAGACAGAGCGTGAGTGGAGAAGGGGCAGGGAGAGAGAGCAAGACAGAACCCGAAACAGGCTCCGGGCTCTGAGCTGTCAGCACAGAGCCCAGTGCGGGGCTGGAACTCGGGAACGGCGAGATCATGACCTAGGCTGAAGTCGGACACTCAACCGACTGAGCCACCCAGGCGCCCCATAAATAAACTTGAAAACATTTAAAAAAAAGAAAAACAAGAATAGAATTCTCCCTCCTGGGGTGGTTGTGAGGAGTCAAGGAGTTAGCCTCTGTGAAGTTCAGTTGGCACAGACCCTGACCTATTTGTGTTGCCTGTTAGTTCCCAAGTGCCCCCCTCTGGGACAGCACCCTACCCCGAGGCAGAGCCAGAGCTTACCCACCCCTCAGGCAGGGAGTGCCCAGAAAGCCCCACCCCTCCACTTCCCGCCTGCTGAGCTCAGCATTTCCCAGGCCCCACCACTGTCGTAGCCACATCTGGGACGGCTCCCTGGGCTGGGACGACAGTGGGGCTCCTCTTGTGGCCTTGGTTGGGGTTTCCGCTGACTCAGCGCCTCTGGCTCTTAAGGCGGGAAATCCCAGGCCTGCTCCCCGCTCTCCCGGGTTAGATGGGGCCACAGGGCTACCATTCAACCATGTTGTGTCTACAGGAAGTCTCCCCTGGTCAGGACACCCCAGTTGCTCCCTCCTCCCCCCATATCCATTCCTAGGACTTGGGAACCGATTTATTTATTTATTTGAGAGGGCAAGCTGGGGAGGGGCAGAGAGAGGGGGAGACAGAATCCCAAGCAGGCTTTGCACTGTCAGCACAGAGCCCAAGAGCCCGATGCGGGGGCTCGACCTTACAAACCGTGAGATCATGACTTGAGCCAAAATCAAGAGTTGGCCGCATAACCCAACTGAGCCACCCAGGCGCCCCACTCATGAGTCTTTTGAACCCAATTCTGGGTAGTTCCTCAGCCTTGGTGCCCAGAAATTTGGTTGCTGCCTTGGGCAGGGGACCCTTGGGAGGGTTTGATCATCCCTGCCTCTGGATGGAAGGGGACACTGTACCTGCTCCTTTCTGCTCAGAAGTCCCATCGCTTGTGTAGATGTTTGAATCCCCACCTCCTTCCCTCCCGCTATCCCCACCCCTGGCTGGTGTTCACAGTCATAATAACAGTGAATTATTTATTGAGTTCTTTTTTTTTTTTT